CCCCCCCCCCCCACTTGCAGTTTTCCATTCTCATCCCTACCTCTGTCCCATTTTATCTGTCCCTGCATCATCTGGTGTATGTTTACAGGCAGAGATGCTCGTCTAGATGTTATTTTTTCCTCCAGGGTCCATAAAACCCATCTGCTGGAGCTGCCGGCCAGCTCGGGGGGAATTTCCAGGTCCTGCTTGTGTCCCGGAGCCGGTGTGTGTGGATTTGGAGGCTCTGTGTTTATTTTGACAGCTTAGCGGTGTCAGGCCACGACCACAGGTGTGTGCAGGATGTGTCCTGCTCGGCGATGCTGCAGTTTTTCCCATTTCTCAAGTTTTTCAGATTTTTCTTGCCTGCCTTCCCCTGAAATCACGACACACTTGCCAAACATCAAAAATCTGCGCAACAGTGGCTGGAAATAACAGTTTTTCACTTCCTACGTAACACTCCGAGGGTGCTGGTGTGTGCGAGACACGGACCCTTCAGCCGGGGAGCTCCCGCGGAACCAGGGACGCAGCCCTTGGGCATCCTCCAGCTTCCAGCCTGGAGATGCAGCCCCGAGCGCCGCAGGGAGAGGTGACCCCGGGGCTCTTCCCATCCCACCCATCCTTCACGAGAGGATGCACCATCCAGGAGAACCTCCAGCACTGCTCCCCAGGGGGAACTGAAAGCATTTAAAGCTCCCAGCTGGTCAGTTGGAAGCATGGCTACGGTTAGAGCTGGATGAACCCAGGGCCACCTCTGCTCCCCGCAGCCGCAGCGACAGCCGTGCTGGTGCTGAGCTGTACCTCTGTGCGTTTGGACCCTGCTTTGGGGCAAATCGGGGTGTCGGCCGGGCCCACCGCCCCCCTGGGCGCTGCTGAGGCTGCGCCAGGTTATTGCTGTCACCGCATCCACTCGCAGGTGGTTTCTGCAGCTTTAACAAGCCTGTTAAACTTGGGGTTTGATTTTTTTTTTTTTTTTTTTCCACGATGAAAAATAGGGATAGAAGAGGCTGGGAGCGCTCCCCCCAATAATTGTCTCCTCTCTGTCCCCAAGAGGCACCTTCAGCAAAAGCCTCCAGAGCTCTTTGAGGGGCTGTTGGTTCTCAGCCACTTTCCCATCATTCACCATCTATAAAACTTTTTGGTTTTTTTTTTAATTTGTTAAGGAGGGTGTGGGTGTTACCTCCCTATCAGAAAATTAGGATTTAAAGGCCAGATCTGAAGCCTTTTGAAGTGAAGGGAAACCTCTCCGCTGACTCATTTGGAGCCAGGCCAGAACTTTTCCCCTCCTGCTCCCCATGAAGCTTTTCCTCCCTGTGTCTGCTTTCCTGCACACCCCATCACTCTTGGGTTCCCAGCAGCTGGCACTGCTCAAGAGGACCCAAGACACTGTTAAGTGTATTTTAGAGTCCCTTGGACTCCCCCTTCCCCTGAAGTCACTGCCCTGCTTGGGTGCCCCTTTAAAGCAGCCGGGGAGGGCAGGGGCAGCCCCTTTAAATAGAGCCAGGACAAGCCAAGGGGCTCTCCAGACCTCCTGGCTTGTGTGGGAGAGGGGCTGCTCCTGGGCTCTGCTGGCTGGTGAGTTGTTTTAATCTGTTTTTTATTTGTTGTTGTGTTTGTTTTGTTGTTTGTTTTTTTTTTTTTCCTCAAAATGTCAAGTTTCACCATTAGTTTAGCTGC